CCCCCCCCCCCCAACACCGCCGGTGGCATCTGCGGACGGTCCCCAATTGCTGCTGCTCCCAGCGGCATCTGCGGGTGGTCGCCAAGCACCAGTCAGCACTCGCCACCCCTGCCCCTGCCGCCAACAGTGCCGCGGCCGCCTGCGGGAGCTTGCCGCTGCTGCGCTCCCACCGCTGACAGTGCCACCACCACCTGTGGGAGCTCACCATGCCCCCCAGCCTCCAGGGGCACGCGGCATTCATGAGTGGCTGTCCAACCTCTTCTTGGACACCTCCAGTGACAGGGAGTCCACAACTTCCCTAGGCATCTGTTTCGCTGCCTCGCTGTTCTAACAATGAAGAAGTTTCCCGCCGGCATGGGAACCAGCCAGAGAGAAGCACAGTTGGTACCTGCTGGGGCAGATACTTTCATAGCAGAGGCAGGTGCTTCCTCTTGGTGACATTTAAATCAGTGGCAGGAGAAGGAGATTCCTGGACTAGGTTTTAAGTCCCTAGGAACTGGCAGATGCTTGAAGGCTTCTCGGTTACCACCAGCAATCCCTCAAGTGGAGGACGATCTCTACCACAGCTCATTGATTGGTCTTGAGGTGGCTTAGAGTCCAATCCTTGAGCCACAGGTCCACCCACAGAAATTGCAGGTCTTTCTGCAGGGGAGAGTAGGCTGTGGGCTGATTCCTTTTCCTCCTTCCACTCCCCTCTTCTTTGAGGGCAAGACACTTTACCTCAAAACGTTTGAGGCTTCTCAATGCCTGGGCCATAAAACAATGTCTTCTTTAAAACTCCTAGCTTTACCAAATGCATTCCAGTCCCTTGTAAAGTTTAATTATGCAAAAGTTATTGATTGATAAATGCATATGATATTACAGGGACACCTGAGGACTGCTAATGAGAAACAGCTTTGCCTATCTGGGGACATATGCTGTGTGCTAAGGCAAGGGAAGCTTGAACTAGGCTGCCTTGCAGTATTCAGACTATAAATGAGGTCAAGCAAGTGGTGTGCGGGGTTTGGAGTCGAACTGAAAGGGGCTGCATGTTTTTGGTCTCTAGAAGTTGCTTTGGATGTCACTTACCTTTTACAGTTTTAAACCCTTCTCATTAGCACACAGAAATAAGGAAATCAGTGACCGAGGGGTTTAAAGAAGTATTTGGTCTTTCTCACAACGATCAATTGTCCTGTCTTATTGCAAAGGAGGTACTCCTTTTTCCTGACAACAAACTTACACTGTCCATATTTGACCTACTAGTACTTCTGTTTTCTATTTTCACAGCTACTATGGCCCCCCGTACATCCTGTTGCACAACTTTCAAAGCAGGCCTGACACTTTCTCCAACTGCTTACGGCTGTGAGAAAAACTATGTTCTGGTAAGGTTGGAGTGAAATACCAGTGATATTCCAGGAAATATGAGAGGGTTTGTTTTTTTTGTGGGGGGAGGGGGTGATATCTTTTACTGGACCAACTGTATAGTTGGAAGCAAGTTAGACACTTAGACAGGTCTCTGGGAAAGAATGTCTTGCATTGGAAAGCTTATCTAATTTTACTCCAGCTACATAGTTGGTCTAATAAAAGATATCACCCTCAGAAATTTTTTCCAGAACAAGACACTCCTGAAAACTCCTGGCTTCACATCAAAACCATGTCGAGGTCTCCAATTAAATGTGTGCATAAGAGAATTTTGGAGTGTACAGATGTGAGGTTTCTGGCTGATGCCCATTTCTAACTGAAATATACTGAACTTTTCTCTTTTTTGGGGACTAAAATCTTCATGTGAACTCTTCACACATTTTCTTCCTAAAGAGGAAGAAAGTAGAAAAACAGTTGTGAAGAAAACGAGTTTGCTTTTCATTATAATAATTCTATTTAGGATTGGAGAGTATAGTGTAACAATGTCTGTTTGAAAGACTGCATGGGCTTTGTCCTCTCTCCCCTATCAGTTGAACCATATAGTACTAGTAGTGTATTCCCAAATCAGAACCACAAGATAGGAAAATGTATTTAGTAGCCAGTTTTAATGAAAATGTTGGTGCCCGTGCAGTTGAAAATCAGGCCATAATTTAGGAGCTAATGAATTAGGAACCTACAATTAGGCTTTTTTAAAAATCAAGAACTTGTTGCTACTAAAACTAGTAGAGGATTATGCTTTGGGTCTGAGATCTTGTTTCAGTCCCAGATGACAGCCCGAGATGTGGCTTAGTGCCGTGAAAAGGAATCATATATGAAAAATATATGAAAAGGGAAAACCTTTTTATGCTGATGATTATTTAGTATGGAAAAGGGAAGACTGAGGAGGTATTTGGAGATTAGAAGGAACTTTCTGACTATGACGATGGTCAAGCATTGAAACAGGCTACCTAGAGAAGCTGTGAAATCTCCATCCTTGGAAACTTTCAAAAACAGTATGGACGGACACTTGGCTGGGATGTTTTAGTCAGGGATAATCCTGCCTTGAGTAGGGGGCTAAATGAAATGACCTTGTGAGGTCCCTTCCTATGATCCTATGATTTTGGGTTTCCTAACCCATTAATTGTGCAAGCAGGTATGACTGAACTATTAAACAGAACTCTAATCTCCAAAATGGCTCTTACAGTATAGTTTCATAGTTAGTAGTGTGACAGGATCTTTTCTTGGTCGGTCTTACCACAGATCACGAGGAGTCGGGAAGACAGTGAACAAGCTTGGTGATCTTTATTGATAACTGTTAACGTAGCTGCGCAGCAGCTTAAACTCACTCACCACGCCTCACGCGCCCTAATGGTGCGTGAGACCGATGGATCTGGCTGGTGAGTTGTCTCAGGGGTTTCAGGTCGCCGGGATCAGGCGGGTCTCTGCGTCCTCCTTCGGTTAGCTACTCCAAAGGCCGAGCCGTGTCCGTAATAATCTGCCATGAGTCGTTCCGAGTCCGTTGGACGCAGAAGGGACCCTGACGATCAGGCGGGGGCTCCTTTTATAGCTTGGGTGACATGCGGTGATGTGATTGTGTGAGGCACCTTTCGATAGGCCCATGGCACTGACTGACTGACGCTGGATCCCGCCTTGTAGAAAGTTCTAGCTGCTGTCTATCTTTTACACTCATGGCAGAAAGGCAACTATAGTCTGCCTAGCAACCGTTACATAACTTTGTATAACTTTTCTGATTGGCGAACATGGCCACTTAACAAACATAATGATCACAACATGCGCCCCGGCCATGTGAGCCAAGGTGGCTTACAACAGGTACCAAAAACAAACTGAAAACGTGGCAATGTCTGCTAGGTAGGTTACAAATCGTAATACCAGCTGTGTTGATAAATTCAAGATACCAGGTTAAGATTACAGGACACTTTGTATCTCCTGGTAGCTGTCATTTGTTTGAGGCTCATAGTGTGTGACCTGCATAGCAGAGGTAATTTGGCGACGAATACAATGAATGATCAAACCAAGACAACAGGATGCTATCAATACAACAATCAAAACTGTAAATAGGGGAGTTAGTAGATTCACTAACCACGGTGAAAGCCGGAGGTTAAATGCAGAATGGAACATGTCAGCTAGCCCATTAAAGGGGGTCTGGAGAATTGTACGTGTATCCTCCGCCACCTTTCGGATTTGATGGATGGCTCTAGATAGGGGTCCCGAGGCGTTAGAGATAACAAGACAACAGGTCTCGTCTGGCGCAGTGAGAT